TCACAGCCAATGACAAGTGATACAGCAAAAAGCACAATGCATTAAACATAATGATGGGGCTATTCATAGATACTGCATTTAATGTAGGTAAAGTTAAAATGGGTTAGGGAAATGTTTCAGCAACATTTTGCACATCAAACAAATCACTGAAACTGCAAAACACAAAGAGAAAGAGGGAAAAATGCATCGAGAATAATCAGGACACAGACGAAAAGAGAGAAACACAAAGTGAGGCACAGGGTGTGAGACAAAGAGAGTAAAGCTGTCTGACCTGACCCACTTCAAATCCTTTCTGGAGTGAAATCTATTCACTGCGAAATAACAGGACGGGCTGTCCAGACAGAACCTACAGGAGGTGGTTGCAACAGCTTCACATTTGCAGACAGAGAGACACTGATTGACTTTTATTTTGTCACCTCAGCTTGTGAAGCACGACGGAGCACTTTTTACTTCCTTTAGAACGGGAACCAAATGGAAGCTGGCCAGCCAACGTCTTAAATTAACCTGCTGGCTCACCTGCCAAGGGCTTAGAGTTTTAATTTAGAATTTACTCACTCAAATAAAAAGACGCTTTCATAGGCTAATTATAAACAGTGTAGAGGCTACTGCTTTGTGCAGAGCTGCATTAACAGGAGCCAATAAGGAGATGGTTGATACAAGCACACTGGAGAAAAGTGCGTGGGTCAGCTGTGACAAAGTCTTAAAACAAGTAAAGACCAGAAACTCAATCTAGATTGACATAGATTATCTTATTTAAACATATTGTATGCAGAATCTCTTGCTAACACATACATCTGTATGTCAACCACAGACCTGTAAAGCACTAAAGAATTATGTTGGCTAAATTTATCTGATCTAAAATTGCAGCAGCCAGAGCTTTGAATTTTGACACATAGCCTCAAAGCACCCAGGAAATGTCAGCTTCACTTACTTACAATGCAAATAGATTATTTATTATCTAGAAGCAGATGTTCCTTCGGCATTTAGCCGTGGTTAAAACAAACAAAGGATAGAAAAGCAATTGTGCAATGTAAAAGGGACATTTTAGAATATGCCTGCGTATATATAGATTGTACATACACAAACCATTGACCAGTGAAAAGGACACAGCTCAGACTGTGGCCCTTCTGTCTGGGTCTTTCTTTTATTTCTATGAGTTTATTTTACACAGCTCGAGGAAACTAGAATTGATGTTTCTTGTCGGCCTGCATACAGTAGACAGGAACTATACTTTTCCAGGGAAATCCATATCGATGGCCATTTATTTAGGATTGATTATGGACAGACCCCACCCTAATCCCCATACCCAACCTCTGCCTCTCTCCCCAGAGCAACAGCCAGCCAGACACTAATCTCCTCTACCACCAGCCCCTGACCCTGAGATAGTGGCAAAAACATTCGAAAATACGCAAGTGTAAGCTTATTGGTATATTTAGCAGGTGTAGGTCCACACGCTTAATGGGGACACCCATATTTAGCAAGACCAGGTTAAGGTTTTAAGCAAATAAATATAAAATCACTTTTATCTGAATCCACATAGCCTTATGGGATTTCCTAATAGTAGTCTTTTTACTGAAGGATTATTTGAGTTGTGGCGATCAGCAACTGAAGTTCATACTCCCATAACTGTGTATTTACTATTACACTGTGCTATGTAAGCAGATATAACCCAACATATGGGCTATGTGGGCCAGAGAGATTTAGACCAGGTGTAACTAGGTGTCCTCGTCTTCCTCAGTGTCAGATGTGAGCTCAGAATTAAAGTCCTTCTCGTATTGCAGCAGTCTCACAAACATGCATTTAGCTTTATTACCTTCCCTGAGAGCATCCCTCATCTGTTGGTGATTTCAGCACACAAGTCAAACCCTACACTGCTTGGTTCTATTGAAAATGTGCGTCCATATGGCTCTCAATGGCACACTTTTGGACCGCACTGTCCTGCGCACAGGGGCCACTTCTAAACCGTTTATAACCTCAGAGAATACATTGTGTGCACTGTGAAGAGATTTTTCTTCCAGCGAAATAAAAGCTTCTGCCGCTGGTCTTTAAGGGTTTCACAAGAGTTAATGAGAAGCTGTCTTGCTGCTACTTGGACGCGGCCATGTCGCCTCCATTCCTGCACAGAGCCCATGGTGACCACACGTCTCCCTTCAGCCCGCTGCTCCCCCACTGCCTACTCTATAGTCTCACAGACAACAAAACAGCACTGCAGACACAACCCTCCACTCCGCGTCCTCCGTATTTGGTTTACACAGAAAACCAGACACCTAGAACGTGTGAATACATTTCTCCCTTTAATAATGACTTTATCTGGCCTACTATGAGTGGGAATATTGCTGTTGGGAAAGACAGACCATAAAAGCTTTATTTCCCCAAGTAAAGAAATAAAAGCCAAAAAGGGAAGTCAAGAACAACTGCGTAGTGATGGACACTTGCATCCCCCACCAGCAGCATGCCAGGTTTGGCACAACTACAGCAAGAACCCAGTTTACATAGCAGAGAGAGTACAATACTGGCTTTGTCCCTCCACTCACACAGACAACTCTCTGAGGTCTTGTACAAGTGATGAAATCTGTCACAGAATGGGAGAAATGGAAACCTGTCGCTCCGCACAACCTTAGATCCATCTCTCATTCTGACAAATGTGTAGCTGGATCCAAGCTTCGGTTTGCAGCTAAATCAATAATTAAGAATATTTAAGACCGCTCTGGCTGTAGTCAGTTCTTTAATGCTGCGGATTTTGTAAAAGTGCTAGAAAGATTCCAAACGTTGTGACCTTGAGACCAGAGGCTGAAACACGCCGCTGCAGTTAACTATTGACAGGAGGGGCCATGTGACTAGAGTATGAATGGAGGGAAGCTATCTGTTGCACAAGTCACACTCACTGTATGCATGTATGGGCATGGGTGTTTGTGTGTGTGTGTGTGTGTGTGTGTGTGTGTGTAGTAAAGGTGCGGGAAATGCTTGCATGCAAAAAACAACACGTAACTGAAATGTGTACTTTTGTTTTGTTTTTTTAATGACTGGAAAGAAAAGTGAACTAAACTTTGAATTGACTGACACGCCTGCTCGTAATTCACCATCGGCAGAGTTCCTCCGACTGACGGCGCTCCAATACTCCACTGACTGTGTCATTGTAAAGGGTAAACAGTGCAGCAGCAGATACACCCCTGTAGAACAGCCACATGGCGCACTATAGGGCCATTTGGTGAGAGCAGGTCAATGTAAGATGAGGAACTAATCTAACTAAACGCCGTCCCATGCTCTTGTCTTTGGTAAACAGCTTGACACTGGGACATGGCAGGTCAAGCTGTTTGATGTGACACAGTATTGCATGGATGACCTCTAGTTGAGAAATACAGGTTGAACCAGAAGTTCTTAACATCAGCTGTGAGCCATGGGAGGATGTACCTTGTTCATCTCTTCCACCAGCCTGGGGCAAGAGTTACAGTTCACTTCAAGTGGTTTTTTTTTTTTTTTTAAAAGTTGGCCTTCCGCAGCCCAGAACTGGAAGCTAGGAGCAGTGTGGGGCGAGGAGAGCGAGGCTTAATAATTGTCTGGACAAGATAAGCGAGGTGCAGTCCCTTATGGCTTATGGTTAGACAAGAGCTAGTGAGGAGGGGCCTCCGACGCTGCCCTAGAGGAGCAGGCGTCTGCCTTCCAGTCCATACTCCACCCAAACCTTTGTGTCAGAATGTGTCACAGTAGTCCATTTGCAACCACAGTGTTCATCTGGAAAATTCTGCCTCACATATTCGCTCTTAAGGTTTATTTAATTTTTTTTTTTTTAATTACAGTAATAAATTCACAGGTTCAATATGTGGAGGACAAATTTCACATGCAGTTCAAACATAATCACCACTGGCACTAATTACTTTCCTAGTCACGATGAAAGCAGGCCTTAAATAATGATTGGACTTGTCTTTTATTAGTAGGTGTAATTTAAGCTCTCTGTTATACAGCTAATTGAGCATTGACCTAAAAAATGGGACGTGTATCGGATCGTGTTTGCCCAAAACCACATCACAACGCATGCTGCTGTGCAAAGTACAGGTGGGAAAAAATAAATAAAGGGGGTATATCACTGTAGCTGTTTTTAAACTTTACATAGCTTGGGATGTTGTAAATTGATTTTGGTTACATAAGATAGAGATTTTGTCCCTTTGAGCCTGAAACCTATGAAAAGGACATAAATTCTCATATACTCTAGAGTACACAACACTTTGTTTACAGTGTCGGACAGGACTGGGGACACCCAGACACTCCTCAAAGACCCCCGGGCATCCACTGATACCTCTTTGGAAACTGTGGCGAAGTCAGTTGACACACTAGTAATTGTCACACACACCAGGGTCAGTGGTTAGCAGCTACATCCGTTGCTGAGGTGTCATCATACTGAACCTCTGCCAAATGCTGGTCTGCCTCTGCCGGCCCTGACCTCTGACCTCTGACCTCAACGGAGAAGGTCAGCACAAAGAAAGTGAAGTTTGCAGCAAGGCTGAATATTAATAGAGATTACAGCAGATTATGGGTGAGGTGGGATTTGTAGAGTGATGCTGATTTAGGAGCATCACATTTTGGTGGGTGATACTATGAGCCATCCAATACTTTGTCAGTGTGGAGCAGAAGACCTGGGGACCATAAGACCCCTGCAGTGTTCATATGGGAGGCTGGTAACAAAAGCTAGCTACAGTTTACACCTCTAATGCTGCCACTGCTCCTATATCCATTTTGGATTGAATATTAAAATATGTTGTAACCCTATGAGGATTAATGGAGGTACCCTAACTTTAATAAAGACAGTTACCTGTTACTTTACACAGACACAGCTCCCAGTGTCCCTGCAGCTTTAACACTGAGGCTAAAGGTTTCTAGCTGAAGTTGTAAAGCTAATGTTAGCTAGCAGTTAACGTTAGTTAGCTACTTTGTTGTTGCTCTACAGCTAGCTTCTCCCGCGACTTCTGTCACAGCTGTTATTGACATTACATAAAATTGCCCACCTCTATTTTTTCGACACTCCTGGCACAGCCGACAACCCTCATGCCTTGCTGGACCAGTGCCCGGGCTACAGCCGCTCCAATGCCCACCGAGGCTCCGGTCACCAGGGCCACTCTGCCTTTCCACCGCTCCATCTCCCCGTACTGTCTACACCGGTACTGTACACGAAACAGCAGCTCCTGTGCCGTAACGTTACCTCTGTCTGCTCAGTTCAAGCTGTCACAGTCCTGTTATCAGTGCTGTGTACGATATGTTCAACTAGAGGGATGCAGCAGCCTCCGGTCTCAATCTGTGCAGCATCCAGGACAGCGGCGGGCAGTGTGCCTAAGCCCGGATCCATGCGCTCCTCTGGATGAAATATGAAGAGCTCTGGCGTGTGTAAATGTTTGGTTCACATCTCCTCCCACTTTCTTTTTGAGCCCTGGGGCCTGGAGTGTGTGGTTTTCTAGCGCCGCCTACTGGAGGAAACTAAAACAACGCGAGTGCTTTACATGTTGCCTTCAGGTGCTCCCCGTAATAAGAAGCTTTCAGTCGGGGAATGTTGGAAAAAGTCAGCAGTGAGTGAACTAATTTAGCTAGTCGTCGAGTTCTTTTTAGAAATAAGGCCTTACTGAGATATTCAGTACCTCAGTGTGCTACAATACAATTGTCAGAACAGAAAACAAAGGATTAAAGCAACAACATACTCTTATTTTCTACATTTACACATATTATGAAGTCATGACATCTTAAGTATATCATAGATTTCACTGTATCACAAACTTTAGGAATGTCAAAGTTTAATTTAACACCTTCCAGGTTGGTTAATTAGTTTGAGAACAGTCACATTTATGATTGAAATGAAGGTATGAATATCTTCACACACTTGCTGAACGTAGCTGCAGGCACTGTGGAGAGCAAATTTGTTCCATCATTATACAGATATACCTTTTGGTACCTGATTAGTAGACTATTTAATTTAATTAATATCACATTACTGACATTGGAGGTTTTCTCTGAACGCCCTGTTTCCTTTGCAAGGACTAAAACTAGTCCCAGACTGTGTAAAACAGAGATATTAACTCAGACTATGCTAACATTATCTGAGTAGAACTGAACAACCTAAACTGACCTAACAAACTCAACACATATGATGGCTGATCAGACCATCTGAAACAAATGAAACAATGATCAATCTGCTTGTTTAAATTTAAAGAGTTAAAATTGGATTAATTTTGAAAGATCAGAATGCCTAATTTCTGTATAATTTGGCAAAATATATTACACAATCTAGATTTTTGCAATGTTTACCTTCCTTTATTGCAACTACACATTTTATGATATTCTATATATTTAAATGTTCTTACTAGCATGGAAACAAGTGTTTTTGGTTTAACCAATAGGAAATGAGCTTGTTATGCAATCAAAGATAGATCAGCATTTTTTACACAGTGCCCAATATAGGAAATTTAATTCCAAAACTTAATTACACTTAAAATATACCAGGGATTAAGTAGAATGCTGATTAAACAGTATTCATATATTCTGAAAGGGTTGTATGAGGGACTGAGGTGGCAGGCATGAGGAGTCACAGGTGGATGTTTAAAAATGACCCAAGAATGAAACAAATTTGCAATAAACGTCTGGTCCCATACAGTTCTAACTGGGTCTGGTAAACTGGCGGTATGTATATTGTTGACTTTGTAAAAGCCAGGAAAAACAATATTTATCTATTATCTACCGTCTAAGATCAAACTCTCATATGGTCAAGAAAAAAAAAACAACAAATGTATAATGCATATTAATAAATATTCTTTATTTAGTAAATTTTGCACATTGCGCTCTTAACATCACACCCAAATCCTTATTACAAATGGATGTTTATTCTCTGTAAAATCTTTATATTTAGAATTTCTGTACACATTTAATGGTACAACCTTTACCACTACATTGAAGTGTCACCAAAGAGAAACAAAATAGAAACATAAAAATAGAAAAAGAATACATAAAATAAGACTCCTAAAATGTATCCCTAATATCACAGCTTGCAAAGCTTTGTTTACTGATTCCACTGTGCTCTTACCCAATGACCCTACAGAAGACCAACAACAAATAGCTAGGCTTGGTCAAAGAGAACAATTACAAGTGAGAAAGCGGCCAAGAAATGAGATGGAAAGGTGTGTTGGTGTACAAGTGCAAAAGAGAGATTGAGAGAGAGAGAGAGAGCAACAGAAAGTACGAATCACGTTTACTTTAAAGGAGAAATGACTTAACAAGACACCAAATGTACTTCAGAATTATACTTTCTAAAGATGTCGCAGCAGTGGTCACGAGTGTTTTTCCCAGGGGAAGATGTTATTAGTGCAGTTAGTTGACACTGGTGGTGGCAAACCACTTCCCACAGACTGGCTTACTCCGCTCGGTGGCGCGGCAGTAGTTGGTGAATTTTTCTTTCAGGAGCTGTCGGTACTGGTGGCGGTTGTTGTAGAAGGACTGGTTTCTTTCTAAAAATGCCTGGATTTCTTCCTGTGTCAGACAATTCTCTTCATCTGAAGCAACTTCTGAATCGTCCTGAATTTAGAACACAAGAGATAAGAGCCAGAATCAAACAAAAAATACAAGCTCCTTATTTTCTTTTAAAGCATAAACTATATAGCTTTCATACAGCAGACAATTAGACTTCCTGGGCCCTGCCACTGCATATTGGCTCACTAGCATGGCTTACAGGCATGGCTAAACAGAGCTAACAGACTTGTTCATAACAAGCCTGCTGTGAGAAATGTCTTTTTTTTAAGAATTTTAAACTCACTTACCAGAAGTTCCACAAGACTGATGTTTGCCTCTGGAGGGCTCGCATGAAGGCTGAGGTTCTTTTGATGTACTGTCCATGGTAACCGTAGTGCAATGCTGGCAAATGTATCGCCACATAAAGAGGAGAAGATTTCTTTGGTTCGGCAGGTGTGTGATGATGGTGGACTGTGGCCGGTTGTGTTCCCGTCTGGCATACAACCTTCACCCTTTTGTCCCTGCAGAAATGTGCATACTTTATATTTGATACACAGCCTTAAATATTCTCCATACAGCATGTGAATTCTACACGTTGTCCTCTCACCTGATTGTTGCATAAACCCTTGCCCTTCCTTTTCTTCTTTTTACTCTTGCATTGAGCATTTTCCTCAGAGTGTGGCCAGCAGTCCACACAACTGTCTGTTCCATCCTCCTCCTTGTCTTCGGCACAGTGATGGGCATTCGTGTCATCTCCTGCAGAGAGTAAACAAAAGCAGAAAAGACTAAGGATACAACAGTGCATGCCTAAAAGACCCTGAAATGGTTTCTGTTGTAAGTCCTCTGCATCTCAGAGTGGCTCAAACCAGACCTGCTTCATCATGGTTGCATATTCCCTCGGAGCAGGCAACATCAGAACCTTCTCGAGATCCTGTCTCACTGCCCTCGATACTTGATGAGTAGCCACAGTCACTACCGTTGCTGTGGGGGGACAAATCTGGAGAAACACACGGAAAAAAGCAATTTCTGTCATTATCTGTCTCTACCATAGTCTTGTCTTGTAACCTCCACAGACACACAGGTTTTATGGTGAAGTAGTTTACCTTTAGGACCAGCAGAGGACACTAAAATTCACTATCAGCTTGACCTACTCCATGCCCTATTAACCTTTCAGTAAGCTAAGCTAATAAATAAAAACGGAGGACGCAGGCAAAGCCGTGCTGATCGGATAATCACCAACGCTGAAGCATGTGAGGGGCAGTGTGTGGAAGTATTTTGGTTTCTACATCATACATAGCAAACACACGTAGTAAGAGCCCAAGTCTGTGTGCATTTTTACCCTGCTTGGTGTCATCTGGGCAGCTACAGGAAGTGCTCCCATTGACGGCAACGCTCTCATCGCATCCTGGCTCCTCCTCCTCCTCATCGTGGCTACCACAGACCTTGCAGGTGCCCTCCGCGGAGTCGAGAGAACCCTGCAACACACCAAATGGGCCGGACATAAATAAAGGCACACAGATGTGGAGCTGCAGGTGAACACAGAGGTGTTAAAGCCAAGGGGATCTCCATGCCCCAGACCCTCACTGTTGGTGGAGGATTACCTCATCCAGATTTTTGTCCTTGTCCTCCGCCTCCTGTTCAGATATGTCAAAGCCACACTTGTTTTTGCGTCGATTTTTTCGCTTCTGCCTCTTTTTCTCCTGCTTCAGCTCTTTGGCCCTCTCCTCCTCAGACAGCTCCTCGACAAACTGCTCTAGCCGACTGATCCCCTGCATCTTCTCCACCGCCATCTAGGGGCGTGGTAATAGATGCATTATCACACAGTCATAATGCATTTATCAATTCATTAATCAGTTTGAAAGGATACTGTACACACACTGGTTTGCGTACCTCAAAACTTTTACGTAGTGCATCAATTCCCAAATGAAACAATATCTGCCAGGTCTGCTCCTCTGCTCGTAGTTTCTGCCAGATCCTGTGCAGCCGCTCATAGAGATGAATACCCAGACAAGTCAGGACTTCTTCTTGTGCAATGTCAATGGTCTTGGCATGTCTCTCTCTGCGTCTGAATGTATTAAAAGGAACATGGCATGATAGAAAATGACTCCGAGTTCATCAATGGTGAAAGTGAAAGTAGCATTCACTGTTAAAAACCTCTCTTACTCATAGCCTCCTGCAAACTCAGGTTCTGCCCGGCCAAGGAGGTGAGCGATGAAGTCAGTCTCACAGCACACATGGATGTGGCGTTCGTGGGGGCAACAGCATAGTCCCTCATACAGGGCAGCGCAATACCCCTTCTCTTTACTGCAGTCCAACTCCCCCACCAGGATGTTGTATGCCCTCAGCACTTTGTTCTTACAGTCAGTGCAAAACCTGCAGACAACAGTTAAATCAGTTGTTTTTAAACCACCAACACAACATTTACGAGAGAGGGAAAAAAGCATATTGGGAATGATGGCTGTGGTAGTCACACATTACCTGTGTTTACGCAAGTAGGTCTCCAGCGTCTCTAAGAGACAAGCACTATCAATGAGGACCACCTCATCCCTGCACTCCTGAGACATCAGCTCCCACACATCCATCCAGCTTCCCCTGTAAGCAAAACACACAACTATTAGAGCCATGCAATCACAATACAGTTACCATCTCTTAAACCTGCCATACTGTTTTTTTTTGGCCACTTGGGGTTAGCAGAAATAAGCTGTACACAACACTGAGAAACCTTTTAAGCTTATATGGAAAAACGTCTTAGCAAACATTTCCTATTAACACCACCAGCACATGGAGCAACACCAGCACTCATTAGAAATCGTGTTTCTGGCCACCGGCCATTTTAAGTCCAATATTCACTCTTCTTTCTGCTCTGGTGTTAGTCTCTACCAAGCCCTGAGGGAAATATCTGGCTCATTAACTGCTAAATGCTCCAATGCCAGCATGTCTGACTGAGGCTGTTTGATATGAACCATTCCCAATGTCCACACTGTGGCTTAAAGCTGGCCAGTGATGCTATACGTTCCTAAGAACTGCATGAGGATTTCTAACAGAAAGAAGTATCCAAACATTTCAGCAGAAGTGGCAAGAGAAGGATATGTGGTAATGCCTTGGTTCAAATGACAGTATAATTATCAGTTTATGAAGGATTAACAGCAAACTTGAATACAAACTAATGCATCATCTACTGGAAGATCTATAGTATTTACTGAAACAGTTTACAGTTTACACAGAGCCAGAGGTATTATTGTCTATAACTCAGATCTACAAAATTCACCACATGAAATGATTCAACAACCGCAGTCGAAAGCTGTACACATCAAAAACCTTCAATGACCACACTGAGACAGCTCTGTAAAAAGACTCAGACACCCCACGTTGGTTTTGTCAGTCATAAACGATTACTGTTTTTCCAAACTCAAGCTTACAATATGTTTGTATATACTGTTATTTATCCAGGGGAAAAAAGGAACAAAAAACCAAATGGTACACAGTGCTGACTACCCTAAGGCAGAGACCTTCTGGAGAAAAAGCATAACTCAGTCTTTTCTGCATTAAGGCAGACACAACTGTCCAAAGGGAAAGAAGATGCCACGTATGTGTGATCTTAACTGAACACTCTCTTTGCGCCCCCTTCACTACGGTTTGATAGAAGACAACTTAGAGCACATCAGCCCTCTTAATTCTCCACTTCTAAAGACTCACATCCTAAATGTTATTTAGAATCGATACAACAGTTTAATGAGGAAAACAGATGAAAATAGTCGTATTACTCACCCTAAAGGTTTAGGCTTGTGGGTGTCCAAGGAGTGTAACTGGCAGCGTTTGTTCTTTTTACTTTTTGGAATGGCATCGATCATGTCATTCAACTTTGACCTGTAAATTAAATAAAAAACTTTTAGTACCGTTTTCAACTCTTAATAAAATATAATAAAACAGTGCACAGTCCATTTGCTAGATCTGACACTAAAAAGAAAAACAAAATGACACCGTGTGTTGGTTAGATAAGTCAGAGTAGGTGCATAGTTTGCAGTTGATTTATTTAAACCCTCTTGTCACATCCATGTCTCAAAGGATTTTAGGAAGTCAGTACAGATGGAGCGTACTAAAGAGGACAATGGTGGGTGTACTACTGAGTAGTAGAGAGCAGTATTTCAGCCTGATGTGGCATTATCATTATAAAGTGTTCCAACACATCCAGAGATCATTTCTTGTTAGCGTCACAGACTGAAATGTTGTCTCTCTCTGTTTTTTAACTAACAAAAGCACTTGTTCATATTTAATGAAATGGCTGCTCTCTCTTGATACATGGTATCATTGATTTGGCAGTAAAAATGAAAGAAACACATTGCTGTGTCTTACCCATGGACGTAGAAGAGGGTGTAGAGCTTCTTCACGTCCGCTACACAGGCTTTGGTGACGGAGAGCATGCCTGTGGGTTTCACTGTGAGTGGCTCGAGGGCCGGGTTCCCTGATTCCACTAAATGTGAGAAGAGGCGCTCCACACTCCGCCTGCAGCCGACGCATGGCACCAGCTGAGATAATGCACTGTACACCTCCCTGGATGTCACCATCAGGGCGATATTCAAGTCCTGCTGCTTCAACTTGGAGTGATACTAAAGGCCAAGGAATCATACGTCTGTTACTACTCGGTTGACACGTCACATGAAGATAAACTACAGAATTTTTGGCTCAGTTTGTGAACATAATGGTAGGCAAAGACAAAAAAAGGATGGTCCACAGTGCAACATTAAAACTACTCACCTCAGAAAATTGTTTCCAATGAGACATGTTTATTTCGTGGCTGTCAACATCCATGACGCTATCGGTGAATTCCATCACCATCTGGTCACAGGATATAACATACAACAGTTGCAATTGTCACTAGGCATAACCATTTCTCCTGTCACTGTTTACATTATTAATGTGTCACTTTTTAGGCGTATGGTATCACATGATGAGGTTCAAGATCTTCTTGGTTGTTAAAGTTTATACCACTGCCACTAAAAATTCTTGACACCGATTGGCTGGCAGGTGTCCATTATTTTTATGAAACATACACTATAAACAGACACGTCTAACTCAGGTTTTATCATTCTCAATGAATATATCAGTTTTACCATAACTGTATGTCGCTATAGCAACAGTGATGATAAGGCAGATGATAAGGCTGATTTATAGTTAAAGGACTCAGTGCCTTTGCTTAGCTAGAGAGCTGTGAGCTCATGCACACAGCAGTTATTATATAAGTGGGAAAATAACCTCTGAGATGTAAGACTGTAATATGTAATGTGATAATAAAACACATCATTTTCCACCATTATCAGTATTGCATCTATATCTCCACAATATGTTAAAGTCAAACCTCTCACCCCTAAAGAGCCATAGAAATGTGCTTGTTTGTGTAAACCTTAAAGGGGAACTAAGGCAGATTTTTACCCTAGTCTTGATCACTAAAGGTCCCCGAGTACTGTCGATAGGAA